GGATGGAGCGGGCTATACAGAAGTCCCACAGGAGAAGAGCCTCGCGGCAGAGGGGAGAGGAGCAGGCTCCGCCCTGCTTGTTTATATAAAACATGCCGGTGGTGTTGTCTGTCAGAACTGTCACGCTGTGACCTTCCAAAGTAGTGTGAAAGGTTTGGCAGGCTAGACGAACCGCCCTGAACTCCTTCACATTGATGTGGAGCAACACTTCATCCCTGGACCACAAGCCCTGTGTCCTTAGGTCCCCTAAGTGAGCCCCCCAGCTGAGGTCTGACGCATCTGTCACTAGCGTCAGAGCAGGCTGCGGTGCAGTGAATGGGGATACCCTCACATACTACTGGCTGATTCAGCCACCGGCACAGGGAGTCCAACACCTGGGCAGGAACCGTCACGACGAGGTCTAGGGGATCTCTGCCCGGGCGATACGACCGGGTGAGCCAGGCTTGTAAAGTCCTGAGCCTCAGCCAAGCGTACTTGATCACGTAAGTGCACGCTGCCATGTGCCCTAGGAGCTGCAGACAGCATCTGACGGTGGTAGTGGGAAACCTTAGCATCGAGTCTACCACGCGTTGGATGGCCAGAAATCTGGGTTCCAGGAGGCTCGCTCGCACCTGCACCGAGTCCAGCACTGCCCCGATGAACTCCAGCCTTTGAGTTGGTATCAGGGAAGACTTGGGCCCACTACGAGGAGACCCAGCCTGCGGAATGCATCCAGGGCCACCGTCACATGGGAACAGACCTCCTCTTCAGACTAACCCGTGAGGAGCCAATTGTCGAGGTACGGGTATACCCATATTCTCCTCTTTTGCAGAAAGGCTGCAACTACTGACGTGCATTTTGTGAATATGTGGGGGGCTGCCGCCAGGCTGAATGGGAGGACCATAAACTGGTGATGGTTTATGGTGAACCGCAGGAATAGCCGGTGAGCTGGGTGAATGGCGATATGAAAGTATACGTCTTTCATGTCAAGGGCAGCGTACCAATCCCCTGGATCCAGGGACTGGATAATAGTGCCCAGGGAAACCATACGGAAGCGGACCTTGACTAAGAATTTGTTGAACCCACGAAAGTCTAAAATGGGGCGAAGGCCCCACCCTTTGCCTTGGGGATAAGAAAATAACGGGAGTAAAACCCTTTCCCCCTTAGTTCCTGAGGGACTTCCTCCACTGCACCCGCCTCGAGGAGCGACAACCTCCTGCATAAGGAGTTGCTTGTGAGAAGGGTCCGTGAAGAGGGACGGGGAAGGGGGGTGGCTAGGAGGGAAGGAGAACTGCAGCGTGTATCCCATTTGTACCGTGCATAAGACCCAACAGTCTGATGTTATACAGGACCACGCATGGTAGAAGTGGGACAACTGGTTCAAGAAACATGGGGAAGGATCCGGGAGTTGGATTGGTACACTGTCCTCGAGCGCACCTTCAAAACCCCTGTTTGTTTCCAGGCTGGAGCTTGCCCTGGCCCTGGTTAGGCATGTTGTTCTGCCTGCGCCTACTGTCCCTGCTCCTGTCTAGGACAAGGCTGGTACTGCCGAGGCGGTTGAGGCTTGAACGACTTCCCAACGGGGTGTGCATTCCCAATGACTTGAGGGTAGCCCGGGAGTCTTTGAGGCTATGCAGCCTGGCATCAGTCTGATCCGAAAAGAGGCCAGACCCTTTGAAGGGAAGGTCCTGCAGGGTATTCTGGACCTCTGGCAGGAGGCTCGAAGCCGGAAGCCACGCTGAGCTTGATCGTTCTGGCTGCAGCATCTGCCGAGTCCAGAGAGGCCTGTAAAGAGGTCTTGGCTTACTACCTTTCCCTCGTCTACGAGGGCCGTAAACTCAGGCTGAGAGCCCTGGGGCAAGCGGTCCTTACATTTTTGAAACTGCCACCCAGGAGTTAAAATTGTGCCTGTTCAGGATCGCCTGCTGGTTTGCAATCCGTAACTGGAGGCTCCCAGAGGAGTAGACCTTCCTTCCGAAGAGGTCCAAATGTTTAGCCTCCTCGGCCTTGGGAGCCAGGGCTTGCTGACCATGACGTTCCCGTTCATTAACGACTGAGACAACCAGAGAACAGGGGGCCAGATGACAAAAAAGGAACTCGTAGCCCTTGGACTGGGCAAAGTACTTCCTCTCTACCCCCTTGGCCATTGGTGCGCTGGAGGCTGAGGTTTGCCAGACAGTCTTGTAGTTGGTCTGGATTGTCTTTATGAGTGGGAACGCAATTCTGGAGGGACCCTCAGGGCTTAGGAAGTCCACCATAGCATCCTCCTGCTCAACCGCCTCCTCCGCCTGTAGGCCCAAGTTCTGGGCAACCCTGTGGAGCAGCTCCTGGTGCGCCCTGTGGTCGATCGGAGGTGGCCCCAACAGCCTCGTCTGGGAATGATGAGGAGGTGAGGAGCTGCTGTGCCTCCTCCACCTGCCCTTCTTGCTCCTCCATATAGGCAGGGGGCACATCTGGGTCCTGTCGGGTTGATTGTCCCCGGAACAGCACCAGGCTCGGTGTCGCTTCCGCTCACCAGTGCTACGGAGAAGCGTCCGGCAGTCTGGACACCGTGGCCTCCTTAGCTGTCGAGAGGTGCCTGTGCGGGGACCGATGCACCGAACAGCCGGACCTCGAAGCTCTGGTCCCCTGCTGTTGATGATAGGCCCACAAGGTCCAAAAGGGCCATTGTCCTGGCGGGCCCCATTGGGGTTGCCACACGGCCTGGGGCTCCCTGCCCGCTGGCGCCCTGTGGACGTAGCTCAAGTAGCCTGAGTCGACCTTGGACTCCGACCTCGATGGTCAAGGCGGTGCCGTGGCTTGGTGTCGTCGGGAGGCTGCAGAACAGCTCCTCACCGACCGTGATTGGTGCTTTCTGCCCAGGGCCGGTGACCTTGGCCTTATGTCCCTTGGGTGCCGGCCTAGTGACGGCGCCGGGGAGCGGTGCCCCAACAGGGCAGGTACCGCATGCTGGCTCAGTTCCTGTGCCACCAAGTCCCACTGAATCAAGGGCATCTGGGAGTCCACGGAGGCTGAGCTTGACCGGGACCGGCACCGGGAGCAGTGCCGGGGCGGTGACCTCGAGCGGCACACCATTGCCTGCTTCCCTCTGGATTGCACCCTTGGTGATGGTACCAAAGGCTTCTCCTTGTCAGGGAGGGGGCTTGCTGCCGACAGCTCGATGAGGTCCTTTGCCGCTTCAAAGGTGTCTGGTGTGGAGGGCTGTTCTAGGATCTCCTCCAGCCCTTCATTGGCACTCAAACCACTTAGCCCGGGGCTCAACGGGCCTGCTGGAGCCACTGGTGCCGGTGTATGTACTGGGGCCGCACTGCCCCTCTGAGCGCCCAGTCCCTTGGAAGGCACTGCCTTCTTACATGCGTAGCGCCCCCTGTCGCCTTTTGGTTGCTCTTTTGACCATGCTGGAGAGGTCAAACGGTGTTGGGGCCTGTCCTGCTTCCTCGGTGCCACAGGCTTATGGTGCCCCACCGGCGCCGGATCACGGACTGACGCCGGGGCACTACGTGCTGAGGACGCCGGCACCGAAGATAGATGGTCCGAGGCCGAAGGTTGCAGTGCGGCCCCCATGAGTAGCTGCTTGAGGCGAAAGTCTCTCTTTCTTTCTTAGTCCTGGGCTTGAATGCCTTATAGATCTTGCAGCACTCAGTCTGGTGCGCTTCCCCCAAATAACAGAGACACGAGTCGTGGGGATCACTAATCGCCATAGGCTTGTGGCACGAGCCTTAAACCCATGGGCCTGCGGCATGTCCTGCAGCCCGGGGCTGGTGCGGGAAGCAACTTCCAGACACCTCTAACAAAGGAGGCTTAAGTATCTAACAACTAAGAAGTGCTAACTAACTACTGAGAACTGCTACAACTGTGCTAAGGGATCACTCGCAAGTGAGCGAGCGAGTTGTTCCAATGCTGCCACGGATGGTAAGAAGGAATTGGGGGGGGGTCGGATCAGCAGGGGTATATATGCACCGGCATGGAGGTGCCATTCTAGGGGGCCCCCCTGCCGACCCGACAGGAGCCGCTAAGGGAAAACGTTTCCAATGTCCGTACACGCAGCCCGTGCTCACCTAATGTGGAATGCACGTGAACAAGAACTCAAAGAAGAACATGCAAAATTATTATGCTTCTTTAAAAATGTATTTTACAGCTTCAAAAAGCTCTAATGTTAAGGCATCTAAAATGATTAGTTCAGGGATCCAGCCAGTTCTATTATCCTTCCCTCACTCACTCTAATACCACCAGATTTACACTACTTGCCCAACCTTGATAACATCCCCCCAAAATTTGCAAAAATGCATGTAAACATCAAAATAATAAATTAATAGATTTTTGACTTTTGCATATACACCCTGATATAACACTGTCCTCGGGAGCCAAAAAATCTTACCAGGTTATAGGTGAAACCGCATTATATCGAACTTGCTTTGATCCACTGGAGCGCGCAGCCCCGCCTCCCCGGAGCACTGCTTTACCGTGTTATATTGCATTTGTGTAATATCGGGTCAAATTATATCGGGGTAGAGGTGTATTTTTGCAAATTTTAAAGGGCACTACTATGGCAGTATGTAAATTTGATAAACTAATGCTGTGCATTTTAATACCTGGTGCTTTTTTCATCAATAATCTCAAAGTGCTTTACAGACATTAAGTAAGCCTCAACGCCTTTGTTGTTTAGTTGAGACAGAAGATTCTATGAAGACTGCTCATGATCACTCAAACTAGGAACAGAATACAAAATGCCTGACTATAAATCTCATGCTGTAACCACTAGATAGAGATCATTTTAAAGGAAAACCTAGATAAGTTTAAATAGCCGAAAACTCATTTTTTTCAGATCACAAGGTCTATTTTCAAAATAGTTAAGATCAGGTTTTCAGTAGGTCTATTTATTGTGCATGCACGAATGGGACAGCTAAACACATGGTTACCCATATTCTGTGTGCACAGAATTGAAGCTTTTAATAATTCTAACACTTTAGGGCCAAATTTACTAAGAGCTGTAATTTTAAAATGTTTTATCTATAACTAACCTTGTGATAACCCTTGCTGATCAAATGACTGCTGTGTTAGAGTTTGCTGTTCAAATTGATTGATGTTCTCCTGTAAAGCATGTTGGGATGTCACAAACCTATCTGAAATCAGGAACATAAATTCAAAAAAAGAAAATGTAAATTAATTAGGTAGATATACAATTAGTCAGAAGTAAATTAATTTAATATGTCATTATTCAAGCTTTTAAAATCTTTTTTATTTTAAAATTATCTTTCAAGTGCAGTCCTGCAGATTTAAATCTTTAGGTGTTGTATTGGTTTGTTTTTTTTTTTTTTTAAGTTTAATTTTTTTAATCAACTCTACTGATCAACTGCGAACAAAAACATCTCATTTACCAGATCTACATAACTTTCTGATACTGGCAGTGGCAACTAACACAATATTTTGTATTCTTTCCACCAACTGTGCACGTGTGCTTTGAGAACAACCTGAAAAGTTTTGCTGGAAGATGGTGATTTAGAAAAAAAATGTTTGTATAAAGTATTACATAGCATATTTTTGTGATATATTGTTTAGATTTGTTTGCCAAATAGAAATGGGTAAGGGTTAATACACAATATTTTATATTTCCCAGTATATTTTACACAATTATGAAAGGTAAGAAAAATTAAGTCATTTACATTACTTAAAATTTATTATTGTACACTTTTACAGAAAGTATATGTTTTTCTAAACCATTATTTCAGATGTCTTAAAACCAAATTCATAAAAGTTTTCAAGATAAAATCATTTAAGAACTTCACCTAAAACTGATTTTTTCCATTAGTGTAGTTTTTGATGTTCTGAATATATACCTTCATCTTGCTCTAAAGGTTGGTCAGTCAATTGTTGTCCCAGTCCTGTTTCTTCTGTGGCTACCACCTGCTGCTGGTCTAGTTCTAAAATAGCTTCCTGATCTGTAGTGACAGCTTCTGTCTGCTGCAACTCATCACTTTCAATCTCTACTTGCATCTGAGTGGAAACATGAATGCTCTGCTGATCTACTGTTGAATCATCTATTGAAGCAGCTTGCTGGTGCTGCTGAAGCTGCTGTGCAAGCTCATACCTGAGAATGAAAGGAGAGGTCTTTTATTAGCAAATGATGCATACACACCTAGACACTATTTTAGCGCTTTATTTGACCTTTTTACTATTTTATCATCATTGTACTAAAGTAGTGCCTAGGAGCTTCAGTTGTAGACCAAGACCCATTATGCTAGATGCTAACAAGGGCTTTTTCCTAATTAATTATGCCAAATAACTCTTAACTCTTTTAGAACCCAGATAACAATACATAGCTCCTAAATCAAAGCTAGGTTTCAAGGAAGCTTTAAGGATTAACTACTGCAATGTATTGGCAGAGTTTAAAAAAAAAGTTTTATACCTACCTATGAGTTTTCATGTGCTTTTTGCAGTTTAATGAAGTTTTGAATGTTTTTTGACAATATGGACACATATATGGTCGAAGATCATTATGGATCCCCATGTGTCGCCTGAGGCTACCACCAGTAGTGAAAGCCCCATTACATATAAGACACTTAAAAGCTTTCAATCCAGTATGAGTTCTAATATGCGCTTTTAGCACTCCAGCCGAGACAAAACCTCTTCCGCACTGAGAACACTTAAATGGCTTCTCACCAGTGTGTGATCTTTTAAAAAAGATAAAAAAAAGCAAAAGCACAAATTGGGTTTGATTTCTCAATGTCATTAACAGCAAAATAAGAAAAAACATAACCAAAGAACATCTAACATTTTGTTCAACAAAACCTGAAAATAAGATAAAAAATGGTTATATAATTACACTTAAGCACGTAATTATAGGCAGAGTTGGTAGAAACTTCTCACTTACAACTTTGCCTAACTTAAAATATTTGAGCTGAAATTCTGCATGCCAACCTTCTGCCTATGGCTGATTGTTAAGTATTACTACTACTGGAAAATTTCAGCTAACACAATTCAGCCATTTCCAAGAATAAGGTCAGGAAAAAATGCTGGTGACCTTTTTTTGACCTCTAGTGCCACCATGTTTGGAGCAGGGACTTGAAATTGGGCTGGGGTAGCCTTTATATCCAGGATATGCCTTTTGCTGTTACCATGAAAATACATGCAAATTTAGTCAAGTCTTTGAAAAATCTCAGTCTGCAAATGCTCAGTTGAGACTTGCAGCTAAATTCCCTGAAGTTTTTGTCCACTGTGAGCGTACTCCAACTCAGGGCTGAGTAGGCCCTGGGCTGCTGTGAGCTGAAAGCAGAGGGACTGTCTCTTCTGTGTGCACACCGCCCTCCCCAACCTGATTGGGTCCAGCAGCTCCCTAATTAAAATGCAGAGTCAGACTGGGATGGGGGGAGGGGCAGATTGGGAGAAGGAACGAGGGCAGGAAAATGCAACTAAGAAGTGGGATATTGAAACTGGAAGCCAGTGAGTGAAGGAGAAGACTGAGATCAGATGAGGAGCTGATGGGGAGGGAAACCGAGACTAGCTGTGCAAGGAGACCGGGGCTTGTATGAGAAGCCTGAGTGGTAGAGAATGGAACTGGAACTAAGGAGACATGACTGGATCAAGCACAATCTGGAAGTGATGGGGCACAAAGGATTAATCTTGTAGGAGAGGGGAAGTAGAATTGGTAGAACAGTATGACTACTACACCACACTCCCTATAGAGCCTGGAATGGAATCCAATACTCCTGAGTCTCACCATTCCTCTATCCGCAAATACCTGTGAAACCTACTAGCAAAATGTATATCTCATCCCCTACTAGTGCTGATCCACAGAGAGGATGACAACCTACTATTGCTGTAAATAACTCAGTTAGCTCAAAAGGCAGAGGTCTGTGTAGTGGATCTAAAGGTTTCAACTCTGCAGATGAACCATGTGGGTGCCAATATGATGACAAATGAAAATTTGTTTTTCCAATTTGCTTTTTTTTAAAAACCAAGAAATTACACACACACCCCATTCACACAAAGCCCATACACCCCATTCACACAAAGCCGACCTTCAAAGAACATTAAGGTTGTAAAGTCAAGCACTAAAAAGTTTGGAAATGCCAGAATTAAGATTGCCTGTTTAACCTTATGGTCTTTAATTACATGATCAGATTTTTCCCCACAGGAATTATACTGCATGCATAATGCATACCCGAAATTATTTCTTGAATTTAATTTCAATCAAACAACCAGTAAGAAAGTATGCACCGAGAACCACTAGCTGTGAACTGTGTGCACAGAAAAATGTGCATGCAGTTCCAAGCCCAGTTAAACACATAATTGGCTCCTTTAACATAACTCACTCAATTCGTGCAGTAAATGTCCATACAACTGCTTGCACATTTTTGTACATAATTTAGAAAAATCAGGCGCTTAAGAGTCAATAGGATAAATTCTGCACTAATATCCCCAAGCAACCCCATGGACATTGATGGCAGTGCACAGCGTACAAGTTAGCCAAAAATCTCGACCAATCTGACTGCTTAAAGTTAATTCTGTAGTTTCACTAGCTAAGGACAGCAAGATAATAAAGCTGAAGCCTTAGCTAAGGAGTCCTATATAAACACCTCCCACAAATTATTCTTCCATTTTAACTGTCCTCACATTAAATAAATTTTATTAAATACATTTCCTTTCTCTTTTGTGTTTATTTTACCTGATATGTTGCTTAAGATGGCAAGATTTTTTATATGCTCGATTGCAGTAATAACACTTGTATGGCCTGTCTGCTTCATTTCCAAAACTATTATTAAAATAACTTTGGAAAAACTGGCTATTCCTTGGGATTGGCTGGATAAGACCTGCATGTATAAAACAAAAAGGGATCATTTGGTAAAGCTGCAATGGTATAAAGAGATTAACCATTTTTAAAAACAATACATAGTATTAAATATAATAAATCGGTAGTAACAGAAAAAAAACCTAAACATTTTTACAGTATCTATTTAAAATTATGTGTAGTACCTTAGCTGCACAATTTCTTCTAGCACTAGTGGCTCTAGCCCCTTATAATCCTATATATAATAATATAATCCTAGGAGTCCATAGACATTTATTTCCAACAAAATCCAAAATAAATTCAATAAAACCCAATTTATTTACTAATTCACTACCAACTGACTGAAGTCCTATATACGGATCTTATTTCAGTCATTTCACATGACACTTTAATTAGCTAGATTTCATTTTGTCCCACTGCTGTGTAATTTTGTTGCATGAGATTTAACTGGAAGAGTTTACATAAGTGATACCCCATCACAGCAGCACTGGTCTTCCTCACATTACATAAAACCTACATTTGAAACAGAGAATGGAAATTACCAATGCTTCTTTGCCCAACATCTACCTCCACTAATTGGTGGTTATCTTTTCAGTGCCATTAGAAATTCATTGGGGGAAAAAAACGAACAAACCTTATTTAAACAGATGCTGTTTATACACTGTACCCTGAAGACAGCCAACTTCAGCTCTGCAAAATGAGGAGAGTTCCTGCTACTAACTGTCCAAGTCTTAGTCCTCGAAGATACACAAAAGAACCCCTTCTCAAATGATACGACAGAATGTGGGGTAGTAGCAGATTTCTCAACTAAAAAGGTCCAAAACCATTCACACATCTTTGAACCGAAAATAGAGTCCTGTGCATAGCAGTAGTGTGCAATCTTGTAAAAAGTTACTGTACAATTTACTTTTTAACTAAGAGGCTACATAAATCTGTTTGTGCTGCTTAAATTCACAGAAATAGCCAGTTTTTGCCATCTTCTAGCTCAGGGGTTTTCAAACTTCATTGCACTGCGACCCAGTTCTGACAACAAAAACTACTACACAACCCCAGTGTCCTGTATTACTCTAGATTCTAGAGTCTAGAATCAGGAGCATTAGGGGGCGGTTAGCAGGATAATTGCCCTTGGCCCCATTCCACAGGGGGCCGAGCAAAGCTAAGTTGCTCATGTGTTGGCTTCAACCCCGAGCAATGGGGCTCAGCCTTCATCTTCCAGCCCTGGCAGCAGGAAATCTAACACCACCCCGGGCGACCCCATTAAAAGAAACTCGCGACCCCACTTTGGGGTCACGATTAGGGTGACCAGATGTCCCAATTTTTGGGTCTTTTTCTTATATAGGCTCCTATTACCCCCCACCCCCATCCCGATTTTTCACATTTGCTGTCTGGTCACCCTAGTCACAACCCACAGTTTGAGAACCACTGTTCCAGCTCTTCAGGCTGCCCACCAATCACTCTTCCTAACAGGTGTTTTATTTTTCCCCACAAAGGGAAGTTTAGAGGGTTTCTTCTGCCTGGCTCCATACTGCTAACCTTGACGGTAAGAGCATGAGAGGAGAGGAACATCCTTTGGGATTAAAAACAGCAGCTAAGAAGAGAATATGTGACCAATGAATTTCTTTCAGCACTGTTTTGGAAGGGGAGGGGGGAGAACCAGGAGAGGCCTACAGGAGATGATCTGGGTCTTCTAAATCAAGCAGGAACAGAGCTTCCCTTGGCAAGTGCCTTTCCTGCTGTGCAGTTCCTAAACCTTGATAGAAGTAGAGCTCCTCTCAGTAGAGACTTAACAACTATAGATGGCAATTGCCTCCTCCTGCAAACCTATCTTTGCCCTCTCCAAAATAGTTTTTCTATCCACTTTCTTGCAACTTAGGATCCATATCACAGTGGTATGGAGATACCATATCAATTTTAAAATTGTACAGGTGGCTCCGCACAAATTAGTATTTGGAGATCTCTCGCTCTCTCTCTCTCTCTCTCACACACACACACACACTACAGGCAGGTGTACAGTAGTGGAAAAGCATGTGTCCAGTCCACACTAGAACCATCACTCATGCTACCACTGGCACTCAAAAAGTATTTGGAAAAGTAATGAAAATTCCTACTGTGAACACAGCCAAATATTCTCTAATTATATCTATAATTGATCAGATGAATGAGAAAATGTTTGAGGTAGCCAGGAAAGACAAGAGACACTTTACCCAGGATGCAGCAACTTAACCAGATATTTTTGAGAACTTATTTTGAGAAAATAACATTTCTTCCCAACCAAAGGCAGGAATAAATAGTATTGGACATCAGTCAAATTCATAAAAATGACTGAAGTCATAATGGCACTTTTTGGTTAATACTTTAATAAAAAATACCATAGGGAACATATAAAGAAACCTGCCTTAAAATATCTGGACCCAAGAGCAAACGAATGAATAAATGAATAAATAAATGGATGAATGAAAAATATTTTCAACAAAAAATAAAACCTACGTCTTTTTAATTTTCTGTCAAGAAACAGTTCAACCACACCACCAACACAGAGCAAAGACATTTGCAGCTTGGAATTTCTTGTCACCATTCACAGAAAAGAAAATGATAGTTCTCAGAACACTTAAATGTCACCAGAGGGAAGGTGCATGTGCCACCTGTTGGAGGAGTAGTAGAAGTTCAGATTCCTACACAGCACATTTCAAACCGGGTAACGTGCAAGAATTACAATATATCTGTAACAAAAAACAACTACTTTTCCATATATTTCACAATTCTTAACATTTAGAAATGTGCAATTTAATCAAATCAATCTAATCACTGAAGACATTTTAATTCCACCACAGAACAAAATATGCTTCTATTTCTTCTTTGGTCTAAAAAATAAAGTTACATAGTTGTACTTGAAATTCACTCCTGGCTGATCTGAATATTATACCCTATGACTAAATGTTTTGATGTAGTCTAACATGATTAGTGTCAAGAGATTCTTAAAACAAAAACATGTAGGAGGGTGTGGAACCAACATGTATATATTCCTTTTACAAAGGGAAAAAAGATTTTACAAATTGAATAGGCAAACTGTCTTCTCTAAAATATTAGCAACCTTTAAGAATTCTTAAAACCAACAGAAGCACAATGATCTTTCCAGACAAGCAATGATAATAGAGTAAGGATACTATCAAAATACAAAAAAAGCAAATGCACTACTGTGTACAGAGTGGCTATGGACAGCACACTAGACAAAGGCAGAGGAGAAAGTGACAGATCATTAGTGAAGTTAACAGGACTGGAAAGATTCATTTTGCTACATCACATATCAAAACATGAGCATCTAAATTTCATAGCGCACTCAGTGATCCCCTGTTCAGTCACTGATTTGCAGTGGCAGTAATGAATTCTATAATGTTCTCAATGGAAAGAACTGACCTAAGAAGAGAAAACTGTTACTAACCTGTTCTGTAACTGTTGTTCTTTGAGATGTGTTGCACATGTCCATTCCACTTCAGATGTGCACACCCAGTGCATAAAACCTGAAGATTTTTCCCTTTGTGGTACCTATGGATTTTTCCCTTTGTGATACACAGGTGGTCTTTGCTGCTCCATGCTGCTGCACAATGGTATAACGGTGGAGCCACCTCCACCCCCCTCAGTTCCTTCTTACCAGACAGACTCCAATAGAAGCGGGAAGGAGGGTGGGTCATGGAGTGGACATGTGCAGCACATCTTGAAGAACAGTTAGAGTAAAGGTTAGTAACTGTTTTTTCTTCTTTGATTGATTGCACATGTCCACTCTATTTCAGATGACTCCAAAGCAGTTCAAACTCCAGGTGTCATTCGGAGTCTACCTGAACAAGGACTAAAGAACTACTTGAGCCAAAAAAACTGCATAACCTGCATGAGATCCTGTAGAGTGCGCTCCAATCCTGCCTGGAAGGGGCACATTGGCAATATAATAGTACAGGCATAAGCAGGACAAAATCCTCTGCACTGAAAATGAAAGGCCTTTCATCCTGTCCACAACTGAGACGAACATGATCTAAAAGACCTAGTTCTGTCCAAGCAAAAAGCCAATACCCTTCTGACATCCAAGGTATGGAGCCTCTCCTCACCCTTATGAGAATGAGGATTAGCAAAGAATGTCAGTAAATATATGGCTTGATTGAGGTGGAATTCCGATACTACTATAGTCGGGAATTTCAGATGCAGACATAACTATTTTTCCCTTTGTGATACACCCAAACTGCGTAAAGAGGCTCAGCTATCAATGCTCCTAATTCTGCAACCCTTCTTGCAGAGGTAATAGCTACTAAAAATGCTACTTTCGTAGAGAGCTGCAGCAAAGAGTAGGTAGCCATCAGTTCAAAGGGCGGACCCATCAACCTTGTCAGCAGCACATTTATTTCTCCAGGGAAAAATATGGAACAAGGTTTCAGATGGAACAAGCAGTCCAAACCCTGTAGACAGAGGTTCAGATATGTAAAACACCCATCTCCTTTGACCCTAAGGAGACTCATTTCCACTTCAACAGGTAAGCATACCTAGTAGATGTCTTTCACCTATTCGGGAGAACATTTGGTACATTCCTTGAACACCCTGCCTCCTGAAGCATTAACAATGGAGAACTCAGGCTGTAAGATGGAGAGCAGCCAAGTGGAGATGTAGAGGCGATCGAGGTCCTGGGAGATCAGGGTAGGTTTCAGAGGTAGCATCAAACGAGCCCCGGCTGAGAGACTCAGCAGACTGGAGAGCCAATGCTGGCAAGGCCACACTGGAGCTATGCGGATCATGCAAGCATGAACCTGCTTGAGCTAAAGCAACACTCTGGAAAGGAGCAAAATGGGGGAGAAGAAGAGGGAGGCAGGCATACATCAGATTGCCTTTCCGAGACAGTAGGCAAGCATCCATCAGAGTTCCCTACCTGTGCCTTGCCCTTGAATAAAAGAGCTGAGACGTTCTGTTGAGATGAATAGCAAAACAGGTGTGTGTGAGGGACCCCCTAGATCTTAGGAATCTCTTGTGGCTTTAATGGATTGCCACATGGAATCTCACAATATCCGGCCTGAAAAACCACTTGTGATCTCTGCTGAATGATCTGTTCAGGGCAATTAGATGTATGGTATTGGTGATACAAAACTCCAGAAGATCTATTGCTTCTTAACAGAAAATTTGATCTGGGCCCTCTTTGTCCTTCCATGTAGAACATCAATGTAATGTTGTCCATGACAACCTGTAAAGTCTCTTTCTTGACGTGAGGGAAAAAAGCTTGACAGGCCAGATGAACAGCCCTCCAAGCTAGAAAAAAAGCAACTGTAACCAAAGTCAATGTGGGTAAGGAAGGGCAAAAAACTCCCATACACATGTTGGCTGGATTCATCCACCAGTCCAATGAGGCTAGTACTCCTGCAGGTACTTGAATGAGCATATCCAATGGGTGATGAGCCAGGGAGTACAATGAGTTTAACCAGCTCGGCAACTTTCTGAAACAAAGTCTGGCATGCTGAACCACATATGTGCAGGAGGACATGTGCCCCAGAAGTCTGAAGCAGGTGGGTTTTTGTTGTTGTTTTTGTAGCTGTTTATGAGCTTTGAGATCCATGGAAATGTTTAATATTGTCTGGAATGGCTGCGGAAGGAATGGCCTGTAGAATCTGGGATGACCCCATAAATTCTATTCTCTGAACTGGGGAGAACAGTGACTTGTCCTTTTTATCAACAGATCCAGAACCCTGAAAAGGGATCAGTTCCTGGATAGACTGACTTTTACTTGGAGCTTGGCTCAACCTTGTAACAGTCAGTCATCCAGGTAAGGAAATATTTGCATATCTGCTTTCCTCAGGAATAAAGCTACCACAGCAATGCGTTCTGTAAACACAGGAAAGCAGACAGCCAAAGGATAGGACCATGAACTAATAATGAATATGGTTGACCAGAAATCTTAGGAATCTCTTGTGGCTTTAATGGATTGCCACATGGAAATGTGTGTCTTTCAAGTCAAGGGCAACATACCAGTTGCCATGATCAGGAAGGGAATACTGGAGGCTAGGGTTATCATTTTAAACCTTATTTTCTTTATATGGTAGTTCAAATTTTGCAAGTTTTGCAAATTTTCCCAGAGTACACCCTGTTCTTCCCTGAGTGCTTAATGGTGGACAGTACCGGGGACCTTGATCATCTAGTGGAGCCAAGTCTCAGCTGCTTGCATGAGTTTGCCCTTTTGCATTTCTTTCTTGACACCGGAGAAGGGGATCAGTACTGACTTTCAGAAGCCCTGTCCATAGGGCCACTCCTCACTGATGCCAAAGTACTCTGTGTGTGCCCTGAGTGGGAATGTTCTGAAGGGGGACACCGGGCAACCTCCTTGAGACTGTGATGCAGTCTCATTTCTCTGTCCTTTTTTGTCCAGGGCTTGAAGTCCCTGCAATCTGGCAGAGTTTTCTAATGTGACTCCTGCCAAGGCACTTTAGGCAGGAGAACAAGGGTCTCTCACTGGCAAAGATTTTTTGCAGCTGGCACACAGCCTAAACCCCAGAGACTGATGCATATCCCTGTACTGAACGTTGGCAGCCTGAGAATAAGATGGAACCTGCTCCAAGAAAACAAAGACCAAAAAAAAAAAACAAGCAACAAAAACCACTACTAATCTAACATATGCCACTAACTATGTGCAGTAAGGAAGATAATTTTTCTGTAACGAGAGAGAAACTTGCAGTAGCAAGTCAATGTCCTCGGACTACCAAACACAGGCAGTAAAAAGGAACTGAGTGTCCAGGGTGGCTCTATCATTTATTCCATTGTGCAGTAGCATGAGGCAGCAGACGGCACCTGTGCTGCCCCCACAGGTACCGCTAAGGAAAAATCTCCAACTCTGGTGCACTGGGTGTGCATACCTGAACTGGAAAGGACATATGCAATCACTCGAAAAATAATGATTGATGCTTCCAAAACTCTGAACAAATGGAACTTAATTGGTCTCTATGGAATGGTAACTATAAGAAATAGTAACCACTTGAATATTATTTTTTGAGGATGGCGGCAGTCTAAATACAAGTTTGAAAAATAACTGACTGCTGAATTTACTTTGTCAATTCTAAGAAACAGCCAAGCAAATCTTATATATTCTAATTGTGTAGCAAGAAAAACCCTGAATCTCATTTTCTCTCCAAAGCTGAACAAGTAAACAATACTAAATTACTTCTCAAATAAATATAAAATATTTACAATTATTTTAACGCACAGTAACTAAAGCAGTTAAATTTAAAATAGAAAATCAGCAGTAAGGATATCAACATATGTACATTAAGCTTTTCATAGGCCCTTTTTAAAAAATGCTAAAGCTTTTTTTTGTGGTAAGATAAACTCCAAAAAAAAAAGTGTTACTTCACTGTTGTTAGAACTAAAATGAACTGATCAGGCCATGTTCAAAGGAAATGAAAATGTCAAAGAGAAAAAAAATTCTGATCAGCTCAGCTCATGTGTCACTACAACAAAGTAACTGGAAGCAGCCAGATTTCCCTTGCTGGATTCACCCAGAATGGGGGTGTCTTCAGCTGGAGCAGAGCTAGCATAAACAGTTCCTATATTGCTCCTACCATCATCACCCATAGCCCGGTGCATGCTGGGCTGGGGAGAGGGCATGGCTGGAGCACAATATGTTCCAACAATACCAAGCTAAATGAGAGCCCCTTGGGACAGGTTACTAACCATTTCAAGGACTAAGATTTAAAAGGTGTATTGTTAGAACATGTTTGTCACTGATTTTCAGTGAACTATGCTGGTCCTGACACAGTGACAAACTGTGCACAGTCATGTGCATTTTAAATGCAACATTTAAGAGCTTTTTAGACACTTGGGCCCAAATTCTTTTCCGTGTCCAGTCTTCGCTGCAATAGATTACCATTTGCAGCTCCTTATTTCTTAGCCAAACTCTGTGCTGGTGCTGGCATAGTTTAAGCTTAGTCTTGACTAGCATTTAAAAATGTGCTAGTCAAAAGCCTTTGCTAACATGCTCTACAACTCTATCCAATTCCTTGTCCACAGTAGAGTTTTAGAACATGTTAGCAAACACATTTTAATATCGCATCTTTAAACCTTTAAGGAGCTGCAAATGGTAATCTATTGAAATGAAGACTGGACCTGAAGATAATTTGGACCCAAGTCTCTAAAAAGCTCTTAAATGTTACATTTAAAATGCACATGACTAAACAGGACTTTTATTAAAGCTACCTTTATTATATAAAAAACTAAAATAGGATTGTAAAACTATGATATTATTGGCAGTTTCTCATTTAAAAAGAAGTATGGAGCCAATCTGATTGTTATGGCCACGTTAATATCTTTAACAATTTAATAATATTCTAGGTCTATAGTTTGATCTTTTTCATTTGTTATGGTTATTGTACTCTCGTTGGAGTTTTGAAAATAATACTATGTTTAGTATATCTAGTTTAAGGTGGTCAAAGCAGAAAACTGCCCATCACTAATGGAGTCTAAATCAACGATATTTAGGTGAAAATGTAAGTATATACAGATCATATCATCTTGTCCACTGTCACCAACCTGTTATTTACAATACAATCCTTCATCTAAAGCTGAACAACAACTAACCTTTTCCAACAAAATGGTTTTAAAAAGTGATAAATCATATAACATCCCATCCTATGCCAAAATAGAAAGATGCCATGGGAGCTTTCTAGAATATATTCCCATGTTAAAATGTTATCGCTAATGGAACACTAATTCACACTTACACAAAATCCACTAAAGCCATATAAAATTATAATTGTATCAAAGAATAAATGCGATTAGAATAAGGAGATTTTAGAATATGTTCTCTAAGCATTAGCTCAAAAAAACTAAAGGAAACAAATGAATATGTTTACCTTTTCTACACTGCATATTTTATAATTTTTTTTCTGTTAAACTTTATAGGATTCTATCAATAAAAAAAACTCGGTTATAAATTCATAAAATACACTTTCAATTCAAACAGCTGACAGTACAGCTTTAGCTGCAGCTGCTGAACAGTTAATTGCAGGTGCATCTTCTTTAGTGAGTTTATAGACTGTCTTTGCCCAATAGTGTACTCTACTTCATTCATATTCTAAACCCAAATTTCAGGATTACAATAAGTTACAGCACATACGAACTCAGTCTTCACCTAAATCAGTGATGAGTATGGGTTCTTGCAAAGGAATATCCGGTACTGGAACGCTGGTCTTTCCTATTCGAACTTTTGCAGGTTTACGCTGATGTCGCATCTTTCGTAGTTCAGTGTGTTTAAAGTGTGAAGCAATGTGAGTCTTTCTGTGGCCAGATGTTCTGAACTTTTTATCACAGTGAGGACAAGCAAAAGGTCTAACACCTGAAAGAGATTAAAATATATTACTTCATGGTTTACTCCCATGTCCGCAGGAATAAAAGCTATGGAATCCAAATAGTAAAATCATAACCGTGTGTTTACAGAGACTGACATGACCAAATGCGGGGAAGATGTGTGTGTTATTTTTCCTTGGGGGAAGAGAGCAGAAATGGGAGATTGTGTGTGTGCTGTTTAAGTACATGGCTAACTTAAAAGTGAAGGACAGATTAGTTCCATCCATGCTCCATAAATGAGAGGGAAACTTAGCACAAAAATTCCCAAACTGATGGAAAGAGGGAATAGTGACTATGTGGCACCCTCTTCACTATCAACTACAAGCCAGTAGGAATGCCTGAAGGGTGAACTCCATGCTGGAACACCACAGAAATTGGAATCGCAGAACTACTGCACTCAGCAGCTTTCAACTCAGGTATACAAGCTTCTACCACCTTCAGGGCCAGTCCACAAACATTTTGGCACCTGAGGCGGGGAGCTCAAATGACGCCCCCATGCCCTCTCGCTTGGACCAAAACTTTGAAAGGTCTCAATTCTGCCTTCTTCCTGTTCCACTCCTCTCATGGTACTGCTCTACCTACCCACCCCAATAAAGGAGAACTAACAACTTAAAATGCCTTGTTCAAAAATTTTAAGTAATGCCTAACTTTCAAATGCCTGAACAGCAAATGTTACTTTTCTTGTCTGCATAGTAAACACTGGCATTTTTATCTGTTTGAATAATCAAAGTGGTGATTTCTGTGCCCTCTTGGTTGCAAAGATTTGAACTGCTTCCTGAAGGTCCACAGTCTGGGCCAACTCATGCTCTATTGAGATTGTTACAAGGCCGACCAGCCTCTCCTGTGTCATTATGGAGTGTGGATGTGTTTTTATTAAACTTCAGCTTCGAGAAGCTGCGTTCTCCACTGGCAACTGTTACAGGAAGTGTTTGAAGTATGTGCAGAGCATCAAAAGCATTTGGAAAGAGGGTGGTCATCTTATTTGTGCACATATATTCTAGAACACCCTTTGGAGTTGATCCTGCTGAAATGTATCTTGAAAGGGCTTTCAGTTCATCACCTAAATCATTCGCATCAATATAGCGCATGTCATCATGTGTCCACACTGTTCCTAGTGCCCTGCATTGCTGGTGTAGGTCTTCTTAAGGTATAGTGAGGAGTTTTGGAATATCATACAACATCCCAAATATACTGCAGTGTTCCTTGAGCTGCATGAAACGTTCTTCAACTGACTGTACTCCTCAATCTAGCAACTGGTTAAAGAATTCAACTTTGAATTGTTGTTTGGGGTCTCTTATGGGATTATCCTGTGCCTCGTAATCAAAATGTCTTCTTCTTCGCTGACTCTTGTATTCTTGATAATATTCTTGGGTGGGAAAATAGCTTCAGTGTGAAGTTCCTCTGCCAACTTCTGTCCACTCTTCAGAACATTTTGAAATCCCTCATCTGTCCAGTAAGACTGCAGGTATGACTTTGCTTTGTCCAGTTGTTCCACTGCTCCAGACATATCAAGGCCAACACCTTGGAGTCTCTTGCTTACATTTATTTCAAACAGTATGTCATGCCACAACACTAAGCCACACAGAAATTTGAAGTTATCTATGTTTCTGGTGATTCCATTTCCCTCTGCCACTGTTCTCCCATGAACAGTTCCTGTCATAGCATTATCCTCCATAATGGCAACTATAGCATCATCTATCTTCCCAATTTGGTGTTTGATAGGCTTTATCGCCTCCACTCGACTTTCCTATTGTGTGGCACTCAGTGGTTTCCGTGTCAGAGAGGATGTTCCCAAATGTTGCTTCAAAATTTGCCATCGATGAGTTGATGCAGAACAAAATACAGAGATGCTTTCAATTACATTAAAAAAATTCAACAGCCTCACTAGAAGCTGATGCTGCATCACTGACCACCAAGTTCAATGAATGAACTGCATGGGACAAAAAAAGTTCGAGGGTTTAATTCTCGGATCCGTGTCTGCACGCCTCTGTTCTTTCCTCTCATGTTAGCACCATTATCATAGCCCTGACCTCTCACGTCAGCTATCGCAATTCCTGTATCTTCCAGCTTTTTAAGAAGCACATTTGTCATACCAGCTCCTGTAGTATCATCAATGTCAATAAATTCTAGAAAATGCTCTCTGACAGTCACCATTGAAGGAACATTTTCACTAGATTCTGTTGTTGTTACAAAACGCACCATTAAAGTCATTTGTTCCGTATGGCTGATGTCAGGTGTGCAGTCCGGAATAACAGAATAATATCTTGCTGACTTCAGATCTGCCACAATCTTCTGTGCGACTTTTGTTGCCAGTAACATTTTGAATTGTTTTTCCAAGATAGTGGTGTGTGTACATTTCTTGGGTGGTGACTCTTAGACGCTCCTGGAGTACAGCATCAAACTCAGCCATCAGCTCCACAATTTTAAGGAAGTTTCCATTGTTTGGCACATACAGCTGATCTGAAGTGCCACGCAGTGCTAGGTTTTGTGTAGCAAGCAGTCTCACTATGGCAATGAGCCATTTCAGAACATTTTTCCAGTAAAGAGACTCTGATGCAATCTTCTCTTGATACTGACCATCTATGGTGGCCTTTAACCATAGTCTCATCTCGAGCTCTTTCCACCTATGGAATGCTCTCTGATGATTTGCTGCCTTCTCAAGCCATGCCAGATTTCTAGCCAGATTTTTCCAGTCCTTTGTTCCTGTAAAACCCAACGTGACTGGAACATTAGACTGGAAGAGTTTGCAACAAAAACAGTATGCAGCATTCTGGGTTTTTGAGTATATAAGCCATGGCCTCTTCACTTTGTCACCATTGGGGATTTCATGCCAGTAATGTGTTGGATGGAAACTTCTATTTTCATTGTCTTTGGGAAACGAAGTTTTTCACTTGCTGTGGCCAGGGCCGGCTCTAGGCACCAGCAAAACAAGCTGGTGCTTGGGGCGGCACATTTTTAGGGGCAGCATGGCCGGCGCCAGAATGCTGCCCCTAAAAATGTGCCCCGGCCACCCTAGTTCACCTCCGCTGCTGCTGCCACGGCGTGCGAAAAAGCTGATTCGCGCGCCGTTACTCGCCCTCCCTCCCAGGCTCTCAAAACCTGGGGGGGGGGGGGGAGGAGATCCCGAGCGGCCGTTTCACGCACCGCTGCTCCCCCCTCCCTCCCAGGCTCCCAAGCCTGGGAGGGAGGGGGAGAAGCGGCGCCCGCGCCG